TTTTTGACTTTATTTTATCCAGAAGGCAGTAAAAGTTTGAATTCAGTTTTCCTTCTCCAAGACAAACCACCGCTCAGTGCAAGAAAGCTCAGTTTGCCCTACTATTTAACCCATAGTAGGGGAAGTAGGATTCATGCCTTTCCAAAGAGCATTGGCGTAAAGTGAATGAAACTGGCTTGTTCAAAACTTGAACTGGGGACGCTGATTCCCGTGTCGATGGTAGCACATACCAATAATTAGTAGTACTTCAGTAATAAATCAAATATTTTATAATGTTCCATTTACTTTGAAAGAAAACGTTTATTCTCAAACCGACGAATGACTTAATAATAATTAATGTCGTTTGTAGACTAAATTTTAGCAGATTCATCCTGAAAGAGCAGACAATTTGACAATATTACTCTTCCCACTGACAGGTGTTAAATTATTTTCGTTTTCTAGTTTAAAGTGAAAAATTAGATTTCTTTCGAAATAGTTAAGATACAGCATGTGTTTGTGTATTATTTCTAATTTGCTATTCACATTTTATTTCGTGTTCGTCCATTTGTGGTTCTTGGCAAAATAATTGGCCATTCACCTTTGGCATGACTACCTTTCAGCCTTACACTTTATATTTCAGTCATTACTAAGTTCCCAACTATTCTAAAGATTTTTCTTCGTACTGTGCAGATAACAATTCCTTGACATTTGGAAGAATTAATTTGCTTTTGTAAAACGAATATTTTTCAAGGTCATTGGTTACCTACTATAATGTAAAGGTTAGTTGAGGTGGCTGTTTCTCAGTAGCAGGTTTTGAGTGAATAAAATACAATATTTTGTGTTGATTTCACACATTTGGAATATATACATAAACATTTTTTTTTTTTTTTTTTTTAAATCCACAGAATTTAAATATTTTTTTTTTTTTGTTTTTTTTACAGATAACAGAGCACATTCTTTTCCTTTAAAAGGAACCTTTTTAGTCAAACACTTCTTCAGAAAGATTCGTTTGGAGAGAGAGAAAAAAAAAACATACAAGAAATAATCATAAATGGAAAAACTGCTTGGTGTAAATTTAAATTAGTAAATAACAGAGCTGCTGAGGTTTCTTCTAAAGAAAAAGATTGCACTCGATTTTTAAGACTATATATACGCACACACTCATTTGTTTGAAATATTTTCAGATTTTAAATTAACACTACTGAGAACATTTATCAATGAAGATTCCTTATAACCTCTGTCTAAAAGTATGCCTGCACTTTTAGTTAGGAATTTTTAAATGTCTCTAGAGGAACTAAATTTCAACAGTGCGGAAAGCATAAAGCAGTTCTGACTTTTTGAACATGAGTATTTACATTTCTCATTTAACCTCCACATAATTATTTTTTTTAAATAAATGAATTTATAAAAATGAAGCGAAACATTTTATTTTCTCTTCAGCTGTTATTTTCTACATTTATTGACATGTTGAGAAATAATGAATAAATAATATAATGAATAGAATAAAAGGCTATAATAGCAATAAAGCTGCTGTTTCAATAAGCACTGGTGAGTATATGCATTGTGGAAGTTAAGTTATACATGATCAATGATTGAGGGACCATTTCTTCATTAGTAAATTTGAATAACTTTCAGAGAAATTAAATAAAACATCCCACTCAGAATTAAGTGATAAATTCACAAAAATTTCTTATATTAATGTTGACATTCAATGAAGGGAAATAATTTATCAATTTTTTTTTTTTTTTAATTATTATTCTTCAAAATCTTTTAGAGGAAGTAGCATATTCATTATACCAAATATTCACATCTGAAGGCCAAGAATGTGCTTGATGAAAATGTCAGCTGGATATAAATAATTTTAAATTATTTTTAATTGAATTGTTTGTTCCTCCAGTAACAGAATTGTGAAATAAAAAATGAAGAGAACAAATGCACAGAATCAATATTAAATAATTAATGAGAAAGTGTAATTCAAAACAAGTTTGTTATAAAACAAATATTAAAAACCTATTTCCAAGCTTATTTGCCCTTCTTGCAAACAATATATTCAACTTGAAATACTTGCTTAACCTACAGCCACAATATAAACGGGGTAACTTTTAAATGACAGTGAAAAAAGATAAAAGTATTTTTTAACATAACCTAGCCAAACTGCCTTTTACATAGGTACCTCCCCCTTTTCACAGGAAAACAGCATAGCATAATGAAAAAAGGACACAAACTTAATAAAAATAAAGTTTTATCGTCAAAATGTTTGATTAAGATGAAAGTCCAAACTATTTTCTAATTATTTTTTGAAATTTTTTTTTAATCCTTTCTAAAATATTTGAAATTTTAGTTAAAATCTTTTGTTTACATCATCAGTGGCATAATAACATTGACTTTTTTTCTGTTGAAAACACATTGATTTGGAAATTCCTGTAAAAATCAATTGTCTGATTTTAATGAATTTTTTTTTTTTTTTATGTTAAACACCCCTATCCTTAATTTCATAAAATTTCAAAAAACTTTTCTATTTCCCGAATTTTTTATTTATTTGTTAAAAGTAGGACTCCTCAAAATCTAAATCGCCTAATTTTTTTTTTTTTTTTCAAACTTGCACTATTCTAACTGAAATAATGAATGCAATAAAACTGACAGTAATTAAGAGGAAACGAAATTTATGAATCCAAAATTGAAAAGATAAATATATGTAGTTACACTATTCTATTTAAAATTTTTTTTTTTTTTTACTTAATTTGTTCCCCATTTTCATCTATGAAAGTCTAAACATAATATTATGAAACAGTCATGTGATCTAAGAGTTTCATCTCTTTACAGAAAAACTGATTTGAGAAAATTTTGTATTTTTAATTTTTGCATAAAGCATCTTTAAAAGGTAAATATAAGTCAATAAATTATTAGATAATTGCAGAAAATATGTTCATTTGTAAAAATTACTAGGTAGTTAAAAAAAAATATTTGCTTCGATTTAAATTTTGTATCAATTGCTAGCCATAGTAGCTGTCATCATGTCATCACTCATCAGCCATCCATTATTGCCTCAACAGGACCAATCATTAAATGAATGGTTGTATATTACTTTTTTATGCTATAAGTAATATTTATTTCAAATCAGATTAATTTAACTTTCTAAATTTTCTAATTTTACTCAAATAACATGTCAGAAACTTTTTTAAATTTTAAGAAATCAAAATTAAATTTGTCGTTCCAATTTATAGAATTTCTATCTGAAATATACCAGAATATTTTACTGGGAATAATAAATTTAATCATTTAGCTTTCAATTAAAGCTAAAATGAAATCTTCAAGGTTTTTTTCATTTTTAAAAATTCATGCTGAAATAGTGGAGGTACCTACTTTAATACATTTTCTCTTGAACACTTCTACTGCTGTGGACATTTAAATATCTTTACAAAATCAACAATGTCTGATATCTCTCTCTTATTTTTATATATATATATATATATATATATATATATATATATATATATATATGTATGTGTGTGTGTGTGTGTGTGTGTGTGTTTTTCAAGATACTATGAAATGTCAGCCATTAGCATTCACTATTTCCAAACCAGTGTACAATACAACCAGTGTTGTGATTTATTTTGTTATTGTGTTGCTTAGCTTAGTCTGGACTCATCTTCAAGATCTTTATAATCATTGATTTCCAGTAAATGAAAATTTTCTATTTTTCCAAAAAATGGCCTAGCACAGCCAGGCAACAATACTATAACAATGCAGCAGTTAGTGTTTTCAACACCATTTTAAGTAAATAACATTAGGCAAAAATCTTAAAATAAAAAAATTATGTCTGCATATTTTCTCCAGACCTAAATCACATCTGTAGCTGTACCTAAAAATGTGATGGCTAATTTACTAATATACACAAAAAGGAAGGAAAATTTTTCTTGCCTTAAACTAATTAAAAGGAAATAAAAAAAAAAATATTGATATTTGCTATTACATAATTTTAAATTATATTATTTTACCATAAAGAATAATTCAATACACCAACCAGTTTGACAAATTTAATTGAACATAGAAAATCCATTAAGAAATATGGTCCAAAATATCAATCTTTTTGAATGAAAATAGTAAAATTGCTTTGTAGTTTTAAAAAGCATGACAATACAAGTGGCTTTCACTTCATGTAATGTAGCACACTGATTGAAGATTGTATTTAAGCTAAAGACGTGTAAAAGAATTTCTACAGGAGAAAACATTTTAATAACAAAAACAATAATCATCAATCAATTTGATTTTCAATAAATAAAACTTCAAAAGCTATTCATTGGATATAAATTTACATCCAAGTCAAACATTCAACAGTCAGTTTTCCTGTGGTCAGAAGCTTATTTTTTCTGCTAATTAAAATAGCAGACAATTTTAAAAAGTTAGAAAAAATAAAGTTCTTGTAAAATATTTAGAGTATTTATTGATATCAACCAGTTAAAAATTAATTAACAAAATGTAAGCACAGCAGCAAAGATTTCAATAATTTTTTTTCCTAGAAGCAATGACCAAAAAAAAAAAAAAAAAAAAAAATTAAAAAATAAATTAAAAAAAAAAATATGGTTAACATTGAAAATTATTCTTGTCTATTTCTAAACCTTTAATGATATAACATACATTAATAATTTAACCTAACAATAAAAAAAAGGAGAAACTAAATCTGAAGAGAAATGATTGACTCATATTTATTTCACTAAATAAGGTGTACATTGTACAACTGTACAGTCCCTTCCCTATCCCAGAAAACTGGAGGCAATAATTGACTGCCACAAACAATTAACACTGACGAGGATCAGTGAAAATGTGAAAATTTAAATAGTTCTCATGAACATGAAAACTCAAAAACAATAGCATCAATGATAGCCTAACATGATCAGTTATATATTCTAGTATTGTGGTAGTCAGAAATGCCTAAGAAGGAAATGGAATCCTGTTCAATGGTGTCTAAGGGAGAAACTGATCCACACTGCTGTGCAAAAAGAATAAAGTTACGGCTATTCTCATGCTGCTATACCCATTTTCTTTTTCAAACTTTCAGGCATTTCTGGTGGAGGAGGTCGGGGAAGTTTGAAGACAACTTTCACCGTATCATAGATAAACCACTGTAGAGCAGTCAAGGTACCAATCATTATAATCCTGGGACCAAGTCCTTTCCAAAGTCCTAGAAGAATAGAATAAAAAGAGTAATTAGAACAGGATTTGGAAAACAAAAAACAAAAAAAAACTAACACAATTGTACATATAAAATCTCAAATATTATCAAAAAGGCCTTGGTAAAAATTATTAAAAAAAATGTTAGAACTTATAACAAAGAATTATCATTATTATAACATATCTCTTGCTTGTCTTTCCATTTGGACTACTATACTTTTCTTGGTTGCTATACTTGCAATGTTTGACTCATTTCAGATGATGCTAGGGCGAACTTTGCACTTAGTGGCCTTCAAGGAAGCTAGATGCATTGGCAGGTTGGTCTGACAGTTGATTTCCTAGCCACTAAGTGCAAATCCACACCTCACCAGTGGATATATTGTCAACCCAATTGCACCTCTTAAAAAAGAGAGACACATTCAAAGACTCCAAAACCACACACCCACTGGTCAATATTGATTGAAGTTGAAGAAGCATAAAGTTGAAATAAACTGTAATGTGTTACAAATGAGAGATTTAGGTGTTGTGTTTTCATCTTTAATGTACAATGAAAATGTTACATAACGTCAAAATTTGTGAGTGAGTACAACAGACACCTGAAGAAGGCACTGTGCATATAACAACCAAGATGATCATACAAATCTGAATGGGAAGGCATATAATAATTCAAGAAGCATTTTGATAACTGATGGAAAATTCTAACATTGGTTCCAATGTAAATCCAGTAAAACTTGAAAGGCATTTATATTAATTAAAAAATCAATACCAAAATACTGTGTCTTTCATCTGAACAACAGACTATGTAATAGTATTAGAATATTAATGTAGCATAGTATTAGAATCATTGTTTAGTTACATCTATTCAGGCATGTTGAGTTGTATTTGTTGGATATGACTTCAAAGAATGTACTAAAGACTGTAACATATCCCAGATATGTTCAACAGAGTTGAAATCTGATAATCTTGGGGACCAATGGAACCCCTGTAAGTCAACCAAGTGTTCCTGGAGCCAGTTTTGTGTCACCTGCATACAAAGGGTAGCTGCGTTATTTTGCTGAATTAAACCATCAAAACTTGACAAGCATAAAAGGAGACAGTCTGCAATAAGGTCTGTGTATATCATACCTTTTTGATTGATTCCAGTTTCAGAAGTTGCCTTTGCTAAAACTTTAAAAGAACACATCATTGCATTGTTGAAAGGCCGAACTAATTACTCTATACAGTCTCTGTCACACACAGACTCTACTGTCCCAGAAAGTTGGAAACAAGATTTGTCTAACCAGACTCCCATAGTTAAATGGCAAAGTTCTCTACCCAGATGAGACACCATAACTAGTGTATAGTATTACTCTAGAAAACTCTACAAAACCCCACAGAAGGCAGTGTATACTGTACAGTATACTGGATGATTGGCTGGGTAGCTCAGCATTAGTATATATTTCTCATCATTGAGTGGTTATCATCCTTTGTCTTCACTAGTGATCCTGTCTTTGCACCAACTGTGGGTACGACTGTTCAGTCCATTTCTAAAAGTTGTAAGAGGCAAAAACCTTCCAAGTGTACTGCCCTAAGTTTTCAGCACTTCAGTTTAAAAAAAAAACATTTCTTCTGATAAAAATCAAGTTATTTCCATTTCACTAGTTCTTTCACAAAACAGAAAATTCCAACTTCTAATTAAAAAAAAAATCAAACTTATTAATTTGGATACAACTACAATAGAAGCCAAAATACTGCGTTAACTTTGATAGGAAATAATACCAAGTGATTTACCTGATAATTGAAATTTAGGACTTTTTTAAAAAAATATACTTGTAAAAAATTAAAATAACTTCCAAATTTATGTACTGTTGTGTATTTCAAATGAAAAAAAATTGTTTCTTTAACATTTAAGAAAATGCTTTAGCCTAAAAAGAGCATCAATTTCATACAATAAAAACAAATACTAACCCATGAAACCAAGTTCTTTCACAATATCTCCCATTGATCTGCCTTTAGCTTGATTAAGTTTAGATACAAGAGTGTCAGCTGGATGAGACACAATAGCACAGAAAACACCAGCTGAAAGAAAAGAAAAATTTTCATACATTTAAAAATATTGATCTTTGGAAAATGAAAAGTAAGATTTGTAAGAAATGCAGTTACAAATTAGCTTTTGATTAAATTATTGAATGTAAATATGCACTCTTTTAACAGACTTTATTTGAATAGTGGGTAAAATTTGTCTTATTTAGTTTGTAATGCAAGTAACTTTACATTTAGCCAAATAACTTTACATTTCTAATATTGACACACCTGATAGTTTTAAAATACAGATAAAGGTTACAGGGTGATCATTTTGAGAAATAAATGCATAAAATCAGAGTCAATGTAAAAATAGAACTTTTGAATATTCTACCTACATTATGAGTGTTTTGCTTTATGGGACAAACACTGTGTATTCTTTTATTTACATAAGAAAATTTTTAAATTGTAAAACTTACCAATGTAACCAGCAGCAAATGTGACAACTAATTGTTCTGGTTTGGAACACTCGGATCTGGGCTTGGGAACGATATGCTTATACAAGAGTTCTACAGTTCGCTCAAAACAAGCAAACTTCATCATTGTATAGGGAATCTGACGACCCCATAGGGGAACAATGCCTTTATAAAATCTGCAAGAAAAAAGAATTTTACATTTAAGAGGAGAGAAAAAAACAAAAAAGAAAGCTGTCAGAGTCTTTAGAATGTGCATATTTAACATACTTTATAGACAGAAATGGTATAAAAATTTCCATTGTTGACCATCTTTTGAGGGTAATCTTTTTTCTTTATTTTAACTTCAACTTCTGCCGAGAGAGAGAGGGAGGAAAAAAAAAAAAAAGAAAAGAAAAAGATGCCTGCTGTGTAAGTTATCAATCTAGCTTTGTAATCCCTTCTGGCAAGTTCAATCCTTATTGGGGAGTCCACTATTTTTTTTTTTTAGACTTCTTAAAGCATAATAAATATCTTTATTAAAAAGTAAAATATAGTTTAGCACTGTTGGTATATGAATCTTTTGAAATCATCTGGTTATACAAATCCAGCCATATTTTGGAATTGGCTTATATCTTGTCAAAAAATATATTACTGGTTACTAAAGGACAGTTTGCACCTATCAAAATCTAGTTCAACAATTCACTTTTTATACAAATTCATACAATGACTGATGTAACAATAAGAATAGTGCCTGCAACAAAACCCTCATTAGATGAGGATCCCAAGTTCAGAGCCACAGTCTACCCCAGCAATAATTAACAATACCACAAGGCTTTGTTGGTTCTGTCATATTGCAAGAGTTTCCAGTGCAAACAAATGCAGCTCTGTTCCAATCTTCAACCCTGCCTCTTGATACCAACCAAAGATATATCAAGGCTGAAATGGAAATGACACCCTGGCATCTAACAGGATAAATATGCTGTAAAGAAAATATTTCTATACCTCTGTAAGAGTCAACTGTACTCAGGATCATCAATATGAACAATCCTTTCTTTAGTATGTGCTTTGCCCAGTCTGCCCTGCTATTTACCCATAGCTCGTGAAAGAAGAGGTGGCTTCATACCATTCCCAAGAGTATTAGCATGTAAGTGAATGTAATTTGAGCTCAACTCTCAGATTCTTTAACCTGAGCTGCAATCCATTACTCCACTGTGGCTCCCAGAGCTGATACATTCATAAATAATTATGCAGCTCAGACAAACCAATGACCAGATGAACAAGTAAATAAAAACAAAATTAATATTAATGAAAAAGTCTGATCAGAAAGCAGTAATGATGACCGAACTTAGCTTCCTATGTTCCTGAGAAAAAAAAAATGCAATTTTTTTTATTGACTTATCTGCAGTCACCACTGGACAAAAGTTTTGTGCAAAAAAAAAAAAAAAAAAAAAATAAATTGTTCACAATTCTTTAACAACTATGAAAGACAAATGCACTACTAAAAATCTAAATAAAAAATTGGATTTTTTATCTTACGGCGTCAAGGAAATTAGACAACAAAGATGCCAGGTTAACTTAGGGGTATAGTTAATTACTGCACCACTGTATTGGCAAATTTTAAGTAGGTGTGTAGGTATCCCACATTATATGGAAATCAATAAAATGATAATTATAAAAGTAATGTTCTAAAAGTCATCAAATCTTATGAAACATAAGCCTGAAGTTTATGCACATTGCCATAAAAGAAAAAAACACACCATGATGAAAAAAGGCCTCAAACTTAATAAAAACAAAGTTTTATCATCAAAATATTTGTGTTATTAAGAGGAAAGACTAAAGTATTTTTATAATATTTTTTTAATCCTTTCTAGCACATTCTAAATTTTGGTCAAAAATCTTTCTTGCGTCAATGGGTGGACCAAATATTGGTATGGAAAATTTAACTTCTTTACATTGTTTTGGAAATTTTTGCAAAAATCAAGTGTCAGATTTTAATGAAATTTTCAGGACTTATTTACAAATAAATGAAAATGTTTTTAAAGAAAATGTTTGTAAAATATTTTTTTTGTTTCATCTATTGCAGCCACTTAATTTTATGAAATTTTGAGAAATTAAAATTCCACCCTCTTTATCTTTATTAGTTAAAAGTAAGACTTCTTGGAGAATTTAAATAAATTTGTTTTCATCAAACAGAAACACCATTTATCAAAAATCTGCTCTGAATCGTAAAATAAAAAAAAATGCAATAAAACTATGACATTATTTAATTAGAAAAGCTTTTAATTGCTTTTTTTAAGATATATCAAGGACAATATTGTCTTAATTTTTTTTTTCAATGAATAATGAATTTTTACAATTGTTTTTTTTCCAATTAGAATAATTTATTAAGTATTAAATCTTAAAATTTTGTATTAATTACACCCTCTTAGATGATATTATTTATTAAGTAAAAAATTATATTTACTAATCATAAATAGAAAAGCTTAGTACAAATCATTAAACACCAATATTTTATAAAGAATATTTTCTTAAATTTTTAAGATTACTGATTACTAAAAAATTATAGATAAAAGGCACTCATGTTATATTCAATTTTTTTTTTTTTTACAGCAAAAGCCTCCATAAAACAGATAAATATCAATTTGTCAATAGCTTAAATAAACAGCTACTGCTATGTTAAAAAAAAGGATTTCTGCAATATTTTAAGCTAAAAGCAAATAATATTTAGTTCAAGTCAGATTAATTATACTTTAAATCAGGTAATATTCCTCAAATAAAGTTTCAGAAAAGTATATTTTATTTTTGCAAGACTTTTTAATAAAGAATTACACTGTAATGAAAGACAACTAAAAAGGGAGCTAATCAGCTATTTTAACAAGAAAAAAAACAACAACAAAAAACTTCCAGTTTTTTTTATTTGTTACTAATATCTGGAAATTGTCAGGAGAAACCTGTACATGTTAAGTCAATCGGAAATTGTCAGGAGAAACCTGTACATGTTAAGTCAATCGGAAATTGTCAGGAGAAACCTGTACATGTTAAGTCAATCGGAAATTGTCAGGAGAAACCTGTACATGTTAAGTCAATCGGAAATTGTCAGGAGAAACCTGTACATGTTAAGTCAATCGGAAATTGTCAGGAGAAACCTGTACATGTTAAGTCAATCGGAAATTGTCAGGAGAAACCTGTACATGTTAAGTCAATCGGAAGTATGCAAGTTGTTTTAAGACATTTGAGTGCATGCCAGTGTTGCTAACCTTTTATTCAAATTTTAAAAAATCAATTCAAATAATGGCTATTTAACAAAAGATGACTGGCATATCATATTGAAAAGTATTAAAAAATAAATTACAAGAAGACTTACGCATAAACACCTTCTTCCTTCATCATTTTAGGAACACATTCTCTCAAAGTATTAGCATAACCTGCTGTTGTCTGGATTTTGACTTTAGCTGCCTCCATAGGGCACAAAAGAATGTCAGCAAAGAATTCAGCGGATGCACTGGCTGCGAGATAAAGGGAAGTCCGCCACAAGTAAGTATTTTCCTACAAAAACAATTAAAAAAAACATTGCAAATTTTGCAATAAAATTTATTTATTTTTTGTTTTTTTACTAAACATTAAAAAAAAAAAATAAATAAAAAAGATAGAGAGAGAGAGAAAACCGTGGTGAATCTCTGAAAACAGTAGATAAGTTTATTTACTTGTAATCCACCCTAACATAGATCCTATCTATAGATGAGGAATTGACAAGCAGAATAGGAAAAGCCACAGCTGCATTCAAAAAACTTATGAAAAGAGCATGGGAAAGTGTAAAATTTAAGATAAAAACCAAGACTTTAATTTACCAAATGTGTGTCCTCTCAACACATTTTTTTTTTTTCGAGAGTAAGACATAGACCTTGTGTGCTGGTCAGGAGAGGAGGTTAAATAGTTTTCACATGAGATGTCTAAGAAATATTTTAAAAATTAAATGGCAAAATAGGGTTTCGGATACAGAAGTGCTCAAAAGAGCACTACATACCATCCTGCAGTGTCAGGTAGCTTGGGCACATTGCATGTATGGATAACTCCAGAATTCCCAAACAGATACTGTATGGGATCTGTTTTATGACACATGTAACGTTGGACAACACAAGTTTTGCTTTAACGACCAGTGTAAAACCTCCATGATGGAATTTTCTATCAATGTTGTGGACTGAAGAGAATAGAGTCCAGTGTGTTGTAGAGGCTAATCAAATACGCAAATGCCCATTACTGTGGTCGTCAAAAACCGTGTTGATCAGGCATTCGTTGTTTCAGTCATGAGTGGCACTGTGTTTTAAGATAACTTATTTTCTGCTGCCAACTGTTGCCATTGATGAAAAAGGCCTCATTTAAACGTTTATTTCCTTTGTGTGTGTATGAAGAGGTAAACAATTTTAAAGTGGTGCCAGTTTTTCTACGAAAATTGCTACATTTGAAAAAAAAAAAAAAATTTCATAAACTCATGGCCAAGTTTATTGAGGTATACTTTTAATACATTTGTTTTCATAATGACATTGAAAAATATCACAATACAAATTAGTTTTCAGAATCAAAATTGTGAATAGCAATGAACAATTTTCTATTTGCTCTTGCATTAAATGTTCCTCGAGAGAAAACTCATCTTCATAAAATATCCATTAAATAGAGAGCATACTTTGCATGAGATTAATGTTAACAGATTTTAAATGGAAAAAAAAAATCAAATGTACAAAATCCTAGTGAATATTACTATGTAAAATGTCTCATGAGAAAAGTTGAAATACCAAGAGTTACTGAAGCTAGTCACCAATGAATTTTATTGGCATTCAGTCCCCCTGCCAAGAAAATATAGGTACTTCAGTAACCAGATGCCAAAAAAGCAAAGAATACATGTATTGGTTTTCAAAAATGCACTAAGGAAGTCCCAGAATATGAAATGTTTGATAAACTATCAAGAGAAATACTAATAGAAATAATGGCAATGTCTCAGTAAAAACACACAGCATTACAATAGGTTTTCACTATGAAACTTATAACTTACATCCTTTCAAAAAGATGTACTGGCTTTATTTGAATTCTTTGAATGAAAATTATATTTTTTAACAGTAAAATAAGATTGACTTTTAAAACAATGTTTAGCTAATCTGTTGCATACTGAAGTATCTGGAAAAGTTGAAGTAGGAGAGATCGAACTGCAACACTGTTTTATTTTATTGATACAACACCCAGTTACTCTTTAAAAAAAAAAAAAATAGAGAGAGAAATAGGTGTTCTTTCAATTCATTTGTTATAGGCTGACAGCATCAAGTTCTTTTTTTTTTGTCCCTATTTACATGTTAAGAATATTTTGAAGAGAATCCAAGTTAATTTTGATTTCATGTTGAGCCATATATTTAGACAGAAGATAGATTTCTAATGTTCAATAGTTGGCTGATTGTTTTAAATTGCATTGCTATCAGGGCACCTTCAGTATTGTATTTACAATAATGATTGAAGAGAATATTTAAAACTGAAGTACATTGAAGATGTTTACTTAACGAAAACAAATACAAAAGTAGAAAATTTGCCTGGAATTCAAAAATATGTAAACAAAAGATTACTTACTTCACCAAGCATGTTACTGTAAGTTACTTTAAAAACTTCATAAAAACCAAATTTTCCCAGTCCTTGCATGGAATAACCAATAAACGTAGGAGCCCATCCTTTAGCCAAACCTCGGACACCATCTTCAGCCATGGTAACTTTGAAACCATTAACAATATTTCCATATTTGGCAGGGTCAACTTGAATTCGACATTTTACCAGATCAAGAGGAACCACTGCTGTATGTGTTATGCCACAACTCAATATGCCACCAAAACCACACAAAGCATAATATTTGGAAGATCCAAATTCACAGCTGTATTGGTCTGAAAATAGAAAGATTATGATGAAAACTAATTTTCATTTTGAGAAAGAGAGTGAAAAAAAAAAAAAATGTTTAGCAATTTTACATTCTGAGAATTCTAAAACTGTAAAGCAATTAAAAAACCTAACACTGAAAAATCTGACATTACAACAGGTTTTCTACATACAAAAAAGTTGATCTAATTTTTATTAGAAATCATTCAAATTAAACATGTAAAATAATTAGTGTCACTTAACAAAAAGAAAAAAAATACAGTATTTATAGGTAAAGCAAAAACATCTATCAAACGCTATACTTTTTTTAAAAAAAAAGTTACATGCTGATAAAAAAGTTAATTTTATCAATCTTTGAGCCATTCAAAAAAAGAATAGGAGAAAATTACATCAATGTTTACCTGTAGAAATATCACACTGCAACATTTTAGATGAACATGTTGATTTTTACAAGAATATAAAAGATCAGCTTCAGCACTTAAAGAAATTGTGAAAATTAAATTTAAATTCAATTACACTAGTCATTTAATTTTATGAAATCACAATAAAACATTTGCAAACAAAAAATATTTCCCCAGTTTCTAAATGTAGTAAATTTATTGTACCAAACAAATTTTGATCTGACCACTAATAATTGGCATAAGATATTATCTTATTAATTAGAGGTTCTATTTGACACAATGAGAGTGCCATAACTCAATGACTGTACCAAATAACAATGCTTTCTTTTTCAGTCTTCATTTCACACCAGTTTATTTTATTTTTTTTTAATACCATGTTACTTCAGGACCATGAAATATCAAGGCTCTCTACAACTTTCTTTAATATCTAAGAATTGCTATGCCTTCTCAGGAAGATAGTGGAGTGGTTTCCCCAATTACCTTCTCCATGTTCAGGAATTTAGAGAAATCCTTCTCATAGACAGGCTGTCATACAAGTATAGAGAACACAGTCTACCCTGCTATTAAAATTGCACATCAGCCATGGACACTTAGATGTTTTGCACAAGAAAATACTTTTTTGAGGGAGGCAGTTACCAAAAAAAAAAAAAAAAAAAAAAAAAAAATTTAAATAATGAAATTAGTATGTATGGGAAATGTTAGTGTCTTTTTATGTTAAAAAATAAATTTGGAAATTCTTACAAAAATCAAATAATTGTCAGATTTTAATGAAACTTTCACAACTTATTCACAAATGAATGAAATTATTTTAGACAATCTTGGTAAAAATATTTATTTTTTTCTTTGACACAGTATCAATATTATAAAAAGGATTCCCCTTCAAAATTGATAACAAATCAATTTTTTATTGACAAGTATCACCACCAAAGAATGGTTGAAAATACTAATCTACAAAAATTATTACCACCCAAAACTTTCCTTATTCTTTTTTAGGAGTGAATCAATCTATTTAAATAGTGCCATTTTAATTTCTATAAAAATAGGTGCCTTCAAAGTTTACTAAAAAAGGAGGATACAAGATGAAAAATGCACCCAAAACATAATAAAAATAAAACTTCTATCATCAAAATCTTTCTATCATCAAGAGGAAAGAACAAACTCAACTTTTTTAATCTTTTTAGCACCCTGGAAATTTGGAGTACAGAATCTTGTTTCTTTGGTATCCAAGCAGCACTTTTAAGTTATAGGAGAAATTTGAGCCTTTTTTTTTTTGCAGTGAAAAACAGTGATTTGGAATATTCAAAAATTAGATAATTTTCAAATTCTAATGAAACTTTCAACACTTACTATGAATTATTTTTCAAACTTTTTCCTAGAAAATCTGTAATTTTTTTTTTTCCTTAACTATTACTTCCCATTACTTTTTTTTTTTTTAAATTTCAATAAATTCTTTTTGCATCACATAATATTTGTGTGTGTTATATGGACAAGTTATCAGATAATTTTTTGTCAAATAGGACCCAGTGGCAGTAAATATGCCCTGAATCTTAAATAAAAAATAAATTAGTATGTATGGGAAATGTTAGTTGTCTTTTTATGTTAAAAAATAGATTTGGAAATTCTTACAAAAATCAAATAATAGTCAGATTTTAATGAAACTTTCAGAACTTATTCACAAATGAATGAAATTATTTTAGAAAATCTTAGTAAAAATATTTATTTTTGTTTTTTTTACATCTTTTACACTTATTTAATTTCATGAAATTTTGAGAAATTCATTTTTATAACACTTAATGTTTATATTAATTATAAGCACAAGTCCTTGGAGATTTTAAATCATTTTTTTTTTGTAAAACAGAAACCTCAGTTACAGAAAATCTGCACTGAATTGTAAAATAAAAATTACAATAAGACCAAGACATTTAATTAGGAAAGCTTTTAATTGTTTTTATGAATAAGATCTATTAGGAATACTTTTGACGAATGAATTTTTACAAGAATTGTTTTCATTTTTTCAAAATTTTAATTATAATAATTTATATTAGTTTAAATCTTTTAAAATAATGTATTAATTTGTAGCAGTTAGGTGATATTGTTATTAAGTAAAACTTGTATTTATTAATCGTAAATGGCAAAGCTTAGCACAAGTCAGTGAACCCCAGTATTTTTAAAAAGTATTTTGCTTATTGGAAATATTCAATTTAATCCCCTAGCTTGAAATTAAAACTAAAATAAAAGTGTCAAGAAAGAATTTTAATTTTTAAACCATAGGTATTGTTTTTCTTTGTAAGTTCCTAAATTTATTTCATTAGCTAAAATTAGTTTCACGAAATATTTTTCATTTTTTATATGCATTTTAAACTTTAATTAGGCATCTCTTTTTTTGGAGTGGTGGTGTACCAATATAAAAATCTATTTTGTGCAGATCACATTGAAAACTTACATAAATGATCAGTAACAAAAAAAAAATAAAAATAAAATAAAAAGCATTAAGATTGTACTGACATTTAAAAATATAGTTTCCTTTAAAAAGAAAAATTCATAATGTAAATTTTAAATAATAATTTAAAATTAAATGAGGGTGATTCAAAAGTTAATTTCTATTTCACTTGTTTTTGAGAAAATGATTAATATAAGGTCAGTGAAGTTTGCTATAAATAGATAAAGTACTATGAACATTAAACGTGGTGACATTCATTACAGGTTTAAGCTAGGTACCTCCACTTTTTTTGCAGAAAACAGCATAGCGTAATGAAAAAGACCACAAACTTAATAAAAATAAAGTTGTATCGTCAAAATGTTTACATTATTAAGATGAAAGCCCAAGGTATTTTTTAATTATTTTTTTTAAATTTTTAATCCTTTCTAATATGTTCGAAAATTTTGTTAAAACCTTGTTTTTGTTTATGTCATTAGGGAGGCATCATAATTACATTGACTTTTTCACTCTTTTTTCATTGAAAACACATTGATTTTGAAATTCTTGTAAAAAAAAAAAATCAAATAATTATCGGATTTTAATGAAATTTTCAGGGCTATTTACTAACGAATGAAATTATTTTTGAAATTTTTTTTTTTTTAACATGTTACCCGCCACTTAGTTAATTTCATGAAATTTTGCATAATAACTTTCTATTTCCGGATTTTTTTTTTTATCCATAGGACTCCTTGGAGAATGTAAATCACCTATTTATTTAGTGTTTTTTCTTTCAAACTTTCACTATTCTAACTTAGGTACCTCCACGAGATCGCTAAAAAAAGAGCATAGCATGATGAAAAAAGACGCCAAACTTGACGAAAACAAAATTTTATCGTCTAAATGTTTGTTATTATTAAGAGGAAAGGTCAAAGTATTTGGGGGTATTTTTTTCCATTTTTAATCATTCTAGCACGTCCGGGAAATTTTCGTTAAAAATCTAGTTTTTTTTTGAGTCAGCAAATTGACTATTTTTTTCCATTTTTAAAAAAAACTGGAAATCTGACTTTGAAATTTTTTAAAACTTATTTTAAGAAAATCAGAAATTATAATGTTTATTTAAAATATTTTGAACCAAACTTAGCTTTTTTGTGCCAAAAAAAGATGTAATTTGTAAATAAACAAAGCAGGTCATAAACTTTCGTCTCTTGACATGTGATGAATGATATATTTACAATTCCATGAGGCTAATTTGTTCTACTTGAAGGAGAAAAGTGAAATAATTTACATTTACGTGAACAAATTATTTACCCCTTATTTTTAACGAAAAAACTTTCAGCGTCTAATTTTTTTTTTTTTTGTACTTAGCTTTCACCTTTACGTTTATGATGCTTTATGGGAAATATATTGTAAAAGAAATTAAAATAAAACTGTTAAGAGTGACATTAAATTTCATATTTCTTAAGAAAGGTATCTAATTAATTTATAGGTACCTTTCTTATGAAATTTTATCAGAATTGTACATAAAATACTATAATTTTATGTACATTTATTACATTCTACTGTTATCTGTATTTGCATTCATTTTATTATTAATTTTGATATTTCATTTATGGAAAAATGTCGTAACTGAGATTAATATAAAAAATAAGATCATATAAATTTCATAAGATGATACTGTTACTTGTAGGTACCTTTTCTCAGTTGAAATTGAAAAATCAAATTAACTTCTCCACACGTGTTTCGCAAAAGTAAAGGCCTTAACAGCGGAGAACAATGCTTAACTCAAATAACGAACTTAATTATATTCTGGTTGGTCTTCCGTATTTTATAATTTACAGCTCGATTATAAGCACAAAATTACATTTCTAATTACTGGGGATCTTCTGATTAGTCAAAATGATACAATTTACAACGCGCTAAAAAAAAGATCTATCTCATAAGACACTTATGAAAGCCGATCTGACTTTTTAACTAATTTTATAATATTTTAACAACTTAAATGTAAAATCTATTATAATTAATGAAATAACAAATAATTGTATTAAAAATTCATTTTTCATCAAAAAAATTTTTTTGCTTTCAGAAAATATTGTCCATATTCATAAAAACAACTAAAAGCAAATTTGAAATTAAATAATATCTTTGTTTTATTGAGTTTTGTATGTTACAATTCAGAGCTGATTTTCAGGTACTGCGTATCCAATTAAAAACAAAAAAAAAACATGGTTTGCATTCCTCAAAGCCCTGTGCTTTTAATTATTGTATTCACTAAAACCGATGCGATCGAATTTCTAGCGTTTTCATAAAATTAGTTATGGGGGCGGTAATAAATATTTTTAAAAATATTTCTACCATGACTTTCATAAAAAAAAATTTATAATAATTTCGATCATCTGCGAATAGTTTCTGAAAGTTTCATTAACATCCGATAATTATTTCTATTTTTGCACGATTTTTCAAATTAATGTGTCATACCAAAAAAAACGTGCTAAAATTGTCTATGTTATTTACTAGTTCCGCTGATACAAATAGAATAAAGGTTTTTTTAATCAAAATTTAGAATGTTCTAAAAAGAAGGAAAATTTTTTAAAATAATTAAAAAAAAACTTTGGTTTTACTCTTAATAATAACATAAGCATTTAGACAATAAAATTTTGTTTTCGGCAAGGTTGGCGTCTTTTTCATCAAGCTATGCTCTTTTTTAGCGATTTCGTTGAGGTACCTATAAATTGAAAAAAATAAATGTAATAAAACTGTAACATTATTTAATTAGAAAAGCTTTTAATTGCTTTTGTAAATAATTGTTTGAAGAAATAAAATTTTTCCAATGAATAATGAATTTTTACAAGAATTTTTAATTTTTTTTTTAAATTTTAACTATAATAATTTATAATAGTTTCAAAATAGTGTAAAATTCTGTATTGGGCTATTTCCTGAATATGGTATAGTAATTAAGTGGAAACGAAATTTATGAAATCCAAAACTGAAAAGATTAATAAACAGTTGCACTATACTATTTTTAAAATAATTTTTTATTTCTTTGCTTAATACGTTCCTTTTTTTCGGCTATGGTAAGCTCGAATTGACATTATTATGAAAAGGTCACATGATCTAATAGTTTTGTTCCTTTACAGAGAAATTTGCTTGTTACTTTTTACGTTTCAACAGGTTTTCCTTTCAGGTTTAAAAGTTTAAAATTTAAAGTAAGTTTTACTTTTTCAATTACTATTCCACTAAATATTTTTATTTTACGTATTTACATAAGTGTGGGTCATACTTCAACTGAGTAATAGTTTTTAAACTTTTTTACGGAGAAACAAAAGATTTTTCTTTTTTCATTTATAATTTTTTCAGTTTATTCTTTTTAATGACAGTTATTTTTATAAAGACGTTTAACTTAATTTTACAACTAATATTTAATAAAATTAAATTATTTTAAAACTTTATTTCATTCATATTGAAATTAGTTTTCGGAAATTTATGTCTGTTTGGGTTATATCCATAACTAGCTGTCATCACTTCATCATTCAATTGTACATCAATTATTGGCTCAGTAAACAGTACCAATCATTAACAAATGGTTGTATATTAATTTTTTATGGTATAGGTAATATTTATTTCAAATCAGATTAATTTAAATTTTCTAATTTTACTCAAATAATGTGACAAATATATTTTTTGGAAGAATTTTAAAATCGATAAACTTGTTTTGTTTACAAATTTCTTAAAATGGCCACTTTTAAGAAAATTTTAAAATCAAATTTGATATTATAATTTCTATCTGAAATACACCAGAATATTTTACTTACTGGAAATAATTTAATCATTTAGCTTTCAATTAAATAAATCTAAAATGAAATCTTCAAGAATGCTTTTTCATTTTTAAAAATTCATTTTAAACCTTAGGTATCGAAAATTTATGCCGAAAAATTGGAGGTACCTAGAAGTAGAAACATGTATGATTATAGCTTAACCTTATTGAAAAAAAAACAAAAAAACTTCTATTTAATTTAAACCTTAAACAAAATTCAGTGATGAACACGCCGTCCTTTTGAAGGACATTTTTGGGAATTAGACAAAGATAGTACGTTAGAAATCTTTGCTATTCCTTTTTCCAATGCACAAGTTGATTGAAACTTCTTTCTTTAGTTGTGGCGAGATAAATTAGCAAATTAGAATTACCAAACTTAATTTTCTTTCCCCACCAGCCCAAGTCAAAATAGTAAACAACACAATATCCGGAATTAAAATGGATTGGACTAAATGTGCCAAATAAGTAAAACATCTCAAGTGAAACGGAGAAAATTCTGACCTCGAATATTGGTTGTATGGTCAAGAGGTTAAAAAATGTAACTGGATTTAAAGAGAAAAGATTTTTAGTTAACACTTAAGTTTTAACAATAGACAACTCACAACTGTGACAAGGTCAATTCATTTTTGAGTTTTTGACAATGATCATAAGAAACAATGTCATTAACTACCTAGAAATAAGATTACCCCTAATATGTCCTTGGGAATGAAAAAGAAATGACAAACATTATCTTGTTTGTTTTGAATTTAAAAAAAAAAAATTGCCGGTTTAGAGGGAGGGATTAAAAAATGAGATTTTTTTTTTTTTTTAATCAAATTGATACCTGACAAAAGACTGGTGGATATACGCATTCGATCCATATATTCGTATTTATTAAGCTTTTAATTAAAACATGACATTTTTCAAAATCCGATATTAATTTGACAATAAATAAATAAAACAACCAGTTAAATGTACATAGAACCAAAGAAAGAAACAGTGGCCTTCGTACGACCTCCACGTGAGAGGACAAATACGACAGAGTTAGGAAGAATTGAAGAAAAGAAGTGGGAAGATCAAAGACAAAAATAAATTGTTACCGGATGCGTTGGCAGCGGAGATGGTCCGATTTTCATTGACGGCCAATCCATCACATTTAGCATAAAAAGGGTTGTGGAACATTTTGCCCACCCTTAACTTTTGCATCAAGGACTCGTACATGGTTGAAGTTACTTTGCTGCTGCTGCTTTTCCTAGACACTGAATGAAATTAAAATAAAATAAAAAAACGGTTAGATATAAGACAAATATAATTTAGTGATATTTAATTAAAACGATTACTCGAATGTATAATTATTTCTTCGTTGGATCCTAATTGATAGATATTTAACTCCGAACCGGTAAATGGAGAAGACTTTCACTCACCTCGCTTGTTCGTGTCAAGATGGCGCTCGAAGAGGGAAGGTAGAGAGGTGTTTATAGTCATGTGATAGCAAGAAAGATTTTCATTGGTGCTTCTATATGACATCATCGATATCATCAAATTTACCTTCAGATTTCCTAGGAAAAAAATAATTAAACAATCATTTTTTTTCCTAGGAAATTTTAGAAGACTTATCAGAATTCATGAATGTGTAAGAGTGTGTATTATGAAATTATAAGTGTGTTTGTGAAATTATATGTATGTATGTGCGCGGGATTTTGCATGGGTATAATGCACATGCATGTGCACGCATATACATACAATACTGCACACAAATATACATAGGTCAATCTCAATACATACAAAATGCACTCATTTATTATGCTAAGGTCAGCTTAGTTTGGACACCCAGTCACGGCATAGGGAACCCTGTGTACATCTAATTCACTAGTAATGATCTGCAAGAACAGCTTACAATGAACAAATGCCAGCTTATCGTGCAGCTGTTGCTATGGTATTTTCACTGATAATTTCAGATGTTACTCTCTCATTTGATCTGTTGTGGGGTACTAGTATGTTGTTTGGAGAGAAATATGTCACCATTATGTTGCAGGTATCATCTGTTTATTTGTGATGCGTATAGACATTTTATATTAAATGTTTATGGGCTTGTGGAACATTTATCTCGCAAACAATATTAGCGGATTCATAGGAGTCCTATAAAAAAAATATAGGTTATCTCCCCTTGGTAGATAACTCCTGGTAATTAGTAGGTTGAACCCATTCATTTGATAATAATGGGTATGACACAAAATTAAATGCAAAATAGAATTCAGGCACCAATTTGAGAAGCCGAGGCAACTACAAACGGGACAGGCATGATTTCGGCCTACTCCCAGAACAAGCGATGCTGGACACAGGCATACCTGAATAATACAAGGACAAGCAGCTAATGGAAGCAGAATATGAACAGCTTCAGATAAGTGTTTATCTATTTCAAACAGACACATGTTTTGGGTATCATCTCTGATGTTTTGGCTTTTAACTGCTAAAAGAATACATTTTTAGCAGTCCTCTATTCTCTTTCTCATTATGTAATGTATTTCTTATATAAAGTATGTTTTTACAATGTTCAATTGTCTCATTTTGTTCATCAAGCTACAACACAATTTGGGAAGTTGTTAAATTTCCCACAGTTCAGGTAAAAACAAGTTGTACAAAACATGGAATATAAAACAAATGACAATGTATATTATTAACAAATGGAATAATATGAAAAAGGAAGTACATGAAAAAACATTAAAACTATCTATATTTCTGAGATGAGGTATTATGTACATTATTTACATTATTCGGACTATTGTCCTCATCTTTGTCGCCATATTTATTACAGCGTTTTGGCAGTTGTATGTTCCAGCCTTCTTCAGGTGGTTGGAATGTCGAACTGAACCCTTCATTTCACTCACTGGAGTAGACTGTTCTAGTTCCACATGCCATGTTTAATGGATGTCAGTTAAAAGTTATCTCCTGTTAATTTCCCTCTGAAAGTTCTCCACTGCCTTGACACATGGCACAGTGGATAAAGGTGTTAGTTAGATCCAGTGCCAGGACCCAAATTGTGTGAGTTCAATACCCGGTTAAGGCAGACTGCTGAAAACTATAACAAAAATTTTAACACCACTCCCTGGAACAATCAGTCTTTCACATATTAAAAATTCAGGCAACCTGAGTGAAAAACTAAGGAGCAGAAATAAACTCAGGATTAGTTTATATTATAAAATCCATTTATACCAATATTAGCAAATGCTCAAATTTAAAAAAAAAATAAATTCCCTACCAATAGATAAAATCGTAAAAAGTTCTCAATTAATCACAAACCAATGTTATTTCCCTTTTAACAATAATTTTTATAAACAAAAATTCAGTGTATTCCCTCTTAGTGGAGTTTTAGCTCATCTGTCCTTAGTGCTTTTCAAATCTGGTCCTTTCCAAAGTATTTTATCTAAGCAGTCAACATATTTCTGATATATCAATGATGCTTTATTAATATATCTCCACAAAACAACATTACCTGACCTTGTAGATAAACTAAACAAAGTTGAACATACAAAAATATTTATTAAAAAGAAACACCCAATACATTATCTTCTGCAATATAATATTAAACTATACTGATAATAACCTAGAACTTGCTGTGACTGAGAAATAAATAAACAAAAATAAATAACAAGAAGGCCAAAATAATACCATCTCTAAAAATAGATAGATAATAAAAATCACTAAGCAAAAAAAGCCATAGTTCAACCAACAAATCAGAAAGCTTTCACGACTAGTTATTTTGTCTGCAGCATCAGAGAAAGAACAAAATTAATTTATCAACTCAGATTTTGGTTGAGTTTCCATCTGTTTATATACACATCTACAGAGCTAATGTCTTATATCCTGGTTGTGAAAGCTTTCTGACTGGTTGGTTGAACTCATGATTTTTAGAGATGGCGAAATTTTGGTCTTCTTGGTGTTTATTTTTTTTATTTATTTCTCTATGACCACTGTTAAGGACAATTACCACAGCACAAAGTTTCAAAAGAAAAGATAAAAAACAACTTGCTGTCTAGAAGGTGACATAGTGGGTGGATTCTCCACAAGTTCAAATACACAAATTTGGAACAACAACTAACAGTAAAAAATGACAAGCACCAATATACAAATTAACAAAATTTAATTATAACTACATGAAAACATTTAGGCAAGAGAATGCATGGAAAGATGTGTGTTATACATTTCTGTATAGAAAGATGTATGTTGTATGTATTCTGAGGTTAAAAGTTGAAACAAAAGCTTAACTTCAGTCTCTTTTCTGAAGTAAAATAAGGTTTTCTCCTTTTTCCTTTTCTCTCTCTTTCTCATATATTTCTCTTTGTCCTTTTTACTTTCAAATCAGTTGTTTCGTTCAAATAGTGGTATCTTTTGATCTATTCTTCTTTCTTCAATGCAGTCTTTGTTATTCGGTTATGGAGATTTAATGCTGTATAAGTTGTATATTCAGCAATTCAGAATTCATTATTTGGATCCTTCATCCAATTGAATGTGTCACATATGCCTTTATTAGGTGATTGTCACGTTTTGCAATTCACCTATGCATTTGATGTAAGCAGCATAGTGTGTTAAGTTGAATTGGAATTCGTCTTTTTATCGTGTGATCTTTCTTGCATGACTGTAAAAAGTAAAAAGAGGTATCATTTGTACAAGACTCATTTCCACTTGATTTTATGCTTGGAATTTGTGTGAGTTGGGAACATCTTTCATTCTCTTCAGTTCAGTAATTCTGGTTACACAAGAATTTCATAGCCGATCTGACTTGCTCAAGTTTCATTATCTAACTGGCTTCTGTCGATCTTTTCCTGCTCAATGTTCATAGTCGGTTACATGATTCTGCACATATGTGAGAATCTATTTTTAGCTACTGCTCAGACCTGTTGCTGTGGTTATCAGCCTGTCTGACCTAATTGTTTTTGTAATCAATGACTACTATTACAGATTTAAAGAGAGAGGGAGCGTTCACATATTATATTATTAGAGAGATAGGAAAGCGAGATGGGTTGCTAAGTGTAAATTGTGTGTGGTTGGTTATGGGTTGTGGGCTGCATAAAGACATGATACCACAAACTAAGTGTCTATCATAACCCACTAATAAAAATGAACTCATAGATTTCTATTCTCACCATAACAAAAAAAATAAAATCTGGAATAATTATCAGATTCTGTTTAAGAGAAGTCATAATTCATAGCACATAGTATTTACGTGATTAGGAAAATACATTGAAAAATCTCTTTCATTACCCTAATTATTTTACATTCAATGTGAAACAGAAAACCCATAAAATTAAAAAAAATAAAAGAATAAATGATATAAACTTAATGAAATGAGATCCATTATATATACTACCTACAAATTCTATCAAAACTAAAATTGATAAGAACTTAACAAAAAATGTGTTACAACTACTTCTAAAACAATAAGAGACTTACAAAACAAAATAATAACAACCTAAAACCTGAAGCAGGAATTTACTCTATAGTCATTAATGACTGCCACAAAGAATACACAGGAGAGACCTCAAGGAATTTAAATAAAAGATTATATGACTACAAACGAGGTCTTTTGCAAAACTACACACTCAATGCATTAGTCACTGACCATAATGTGTCTGACCATAATTTTGATTTAAAAAATGCTCTTTAATTAAAAGAGAAAGTAATTTACAATAGCAAAAATGTATAAAAAGTGCACTGATTGCTAAATTATCCACAGTAAATTTGTGTCCAAATTCTCCAGTTGTTGTTACAATGTAGGATACTTAAAAACAAAAGCACAAGGAAACTAAATGAGATCACCTAGACTCTGTATCCAAGATTGTCTGAAAAAAATACATAATTACAAGTACATAATTATAAATGACACTTGCATTTATATCTCCCAATCCATCTACACAGATATAATTCCACCAATAAAAACATTAGTTCAATAAATATCTTTCTAGGAAACAGTACAAAGAATTTTTCCACTTTGTCATTCAGTTTCCTAACATATATCATTTGTGATATTTGTAGGAGGAAAGGGCTCAGTATCAGAGATAGAGTGTTTGTATACATAGACAGTGCAGAGATAGGAATGAACACTGCATGGTGACTGTCAATTTGACACAGGTATTAGCTGAATTTCTCAAATTTTAACTATATAATGATCAACTTGTGTGATTACTGGAGAAGAGTTAGGTTAAGTGCATTGACAAAACAAGCAAATGTAGAAATATTTGTAAGAATATTTGTTCTTTAAAATAAATGTTTTTTTCATCCCTACAGGCTTTTTTTAATTGGTATCACCTCATGCAAGGCAGTAAAGCCACTAAGACACAAGGGCTTACAGGATGTGGAAAAATTAGGAACAAAAACATAATGATCAGGAAGAGGAAAGAGTAATCAGGAGGACAGTAGATAGTGATTGACATTGCATTTAAATTTTTGCATATTAAAGTTGGCTGGAAATCATGGGACCAGAAGAGAGTTCCACAAGTGAGAAGTGCGAGAAAAGAAACTGTTAGCAC